GACAATTAAGTATTAAAAAGTTAATAGATCATTTTGTACTCAAACAATCATTTATAATTTAACAACCGTAACTTTATAAAGCATTTCTCTCCGATGTAGCATTTAAACAGGCTTTTTCAAAAGATAAAGCCTCCTCAAACGAAGCCTAAGGCAATTGGCAAAGCTAGGGTACCTATAGAGATAAATATGTTAAGAGAAGCAACTGTAGGGTTTTGTTGCAGTACCATATATTGTAGTGTACGTTTGCTACATTACCAGAAAGATAGTTATCCTGCTTTTGTTATAGGAAAAGGGGTATGAATCGGCATAAAATGAAGAGAAAGGAAATTTTGGGAGAGCTTTCCTTTTATTTCAGATAATGAAATTTTACTATTAAAAAAATGCCTATAATTAAGGTAGAAAAAACATTGCCATCAAATCATAAATAAACTCTACCAAAAAAAGGTAACATTGTTTGAACTATAAATTTGATGAGATCACACTAAAAATAATATCAATATATATTATTCTAATTTAAATTTAAATAAAAACTTATCCAAACACCTTAAAAACTAAAACTCAACATTACTATATTATAATATAATTGAAGATTGAATGATCTAGCCTCAATCTCCCTAAAATGATGCTGGATAAATAAAGGCACATACAAAGTTCTAATAACATCATTTGATCTCAGCTGTGTGATCAAAGTTACAATTGAAAATTTATATGATGAAATTAGGTTGTTAAAAGATCAAGAAATATGTTATTTTGGTAATTCCATGATAACACTTGAATTGTAAGGGATACTTCTTCTAATAATCTTATTTGAAATTAACAGTCAGATTAATTATCCCATTTATGATCAGATCCCTAAATCATGGGTTCCCCATTTAAGATAATTTCAGTGCAGTGAAATCATAATATCATGTGGGGAAAGGTTTAATTTCTAATCTTCCTACTATACCACTTTATTGTCTCTGTAAATTGATATTATAACAAGTTAGCAAGGAATGGTTAAAATATTTTTGAAAAATTTAATTATAAGAGCTTCTTGGATCAATAGAGCTTGGATAGCATTTATTTCATAAGATCATCCCCTACAAATGTCAGAAAAAATTCATTGGGTATAATATTTTGTTTGACTTGTTTATATAGCAGTATTGCCTTTTGTAGGCTTGTCAAAACTGATGAGCTACGAACTTCATAGCTTTATGTTTATTCAAATTGGCAAGTGGGTGGGTCTTCAAGTCCTTCGAGTAATTGAGGATTTAGCATTTGCTCAATTTCCCTTATAAAAGACAGTTTTCTTCATTGGGAAGTCTTTGAGAGAATCAAGGGCATGTTATTGTTTAACTATTTTGCAATCATGAGCAGACCTTAATCACCTTCATTTAGAGTCGATTTTACTGACCCATTTTGATAGATTAATAGATTTACCAACATGCCAAAGATGACTGGATGTCCTTTTACATCCGCATGCCACCTTTTTTTGATGTACAGAGAGCAGTATCAACATAATTTTTTTTACTTGCATCAATAAGTATACCTGCTTGCCTTTTTGTTAGTATGATTACCATCGACATGTCAAATATTTTTTAACAAAAAGTTATTTCCCTCACTTGTAAACTAAAACTATCAAGTCACTCATTATAATATGGCATACCTATCATGAAGAAAAGAGCAATTAAAGATAAATTTGCAAATGTCATGTGGAACCATGCCACATACAATCTCGTTAATGTAGTTCAGTGCTTGCAAACTTCCAGTGACATTAGCAATCAATCTTCATCTCTAGCCTCCTTTGAATTGAACTTAAATATTGGGATGAGCTACAAAGTACAACCCTGGTCTTAGCACCGAATTGGGGAAAAATTTTCTTCAGGCTAATAATGTTAATGATGAAACTTATTACCTCTTGCTTGTAAGTATCATTAGAGCCGTTTATTCGCAATTGAGATTTAGCGTTAGTAAAATTTAATAAATTCATAAATCGTAACTATGTTAAATCCATCCTAATCAAATATTTAGTAAATCCGGATTCAAACCAAAACGAAGACAAAATTTGGGACCTTAAATATGAAAATTCAAAAATCCACAAAGCTCCTGCATTTTAGTGTTTGGCTAGATTTGGTAAATCTGGTGATAAATATTATTAAAATGTGCTATCAAACACCCTCTCAAGATGAATAACCCTTATACGTTCACATTGGAGGACAACCCATTGATATATCTTTCAACAATAATAAAAAACAGAGATAGCTCGTCTCATCCACTACAATGTCAAAGATAAGTCGAACGTCTAAGCACCCACCTAAGGCTCCAACATCTCAAGATAAGTCGAACGTTTAAGCTTTAACCCATTGTTATCTTATTAGCTCGATTTAAGATTAATTATCAAGAATAAGTTGGGCTCACTTGCAATTTAAGAATTGAATTATAATGCATACATCAAACGAGTTTGTACAAAGATTTAATCTCAACATGATTGCTTGATGAAAAACTCTGCAATGTATTTGTGACATTTTTCTTATTGTTGCCTCAGATTGTCACTTCTACCAGGCCCTTAAACTATAAGGTAGAACTCTAATTGTATCAACTACTTAAGCATCTCTCAAGTCATCTCTTAATGCACATTCATCTTTCAATGAGTATTTCACTGTGCCACTACAGGATGGAAGGCAATCATTTTGGAGGTGCAATACCCATACAAGGTGAACCACAACTATTCAATCCGTGAAATACTCATTGAAGGATGAATGCGCATTAAGAGATGCAATACCCATACAAGGTGAACCACAGACTATTCAATCCGTACATAGAGCTCTCAGCATCACTTGGCCCCATCATAAATAGACATCTCTAATTTAGCTTCCATTTTGAATGCTTGCATCATTCCTTCATAAATGGTACCAATATTCTCATCTTCATTATCTCCATTCACATCAGCATTTATGATTGAAGGAGAAATGTGACTTTAGCCATTAGTTGTAGTGATAGTTGTTTGCATCCTCATCCATTCCATTAATCAGGCAAATTGATCGATAAGATTTAAAATAGAATCATTTTTAGCCATTGATTGTTTTCTTCAATTTCTTCATCTTGTATCCTTATTTAAATTATGAAGAATATCCAAGACAAGCAGATTTCTCTTGTCTTTATATCCATTTTTTTGTACTACAAAGCACCAAGGACCAGTATTTTGATAAAAGTTGATTGATAGCCAACTTCTCCACATTCCTAAGTAAGCCCACAATGAGAAGCTAGAAAATATTGCCATATCAATCAATCAATAAATTAAAAGTTCAACAAGCATTAGTTTGCACGATAAATGACTTTTCCTCTATGATTTTGCCATATTATTGCAGTACAATGTTTTTGGTTATTTTCTATTTAGATAGCAAGCAGCAATAGTTTCTATTAAAGCAAGCAGCAATAGTTTCTAGTAAAGCAAACAGCAAGGCAACAGGCAGATAACAGTAAAACAATTTAAAGGCAGCAGTGAAATAATTGCAAGGTAGCATAAAAAAAATTCAAGGCAGCATCAGAAGTAACAACAACATCAACTAAGCAACTGATAAAGCTCCAATATCTAGAAAGCTCAATACGGGAAGAACAACAGTTACTAGAGTTTGATATAGCACCTAGTACTGCAGCTACTATTTTGCCAGATATCATGATGATAATTATGTTGCCCTGGTTAGTAAAAACAAGGGCTGATGGTTTTGAAGGGCCGTATAAATTTGGAGAGGAGAAAAGAAAGGTTTGGGGGATAACTTCTTCAGTTTTAATCAAATGCCATGGCAAAAAAATAATGCATATAAATAGACAATTACAGCAGATTCATATCTAATCTAAACTTCTTATCCAATCCTAACTAAAATCCCACCAGAGGAAACCTTATCATAAAAATCAAGATAAGTTCAAACTGTAGTTAAATCTAGCATAAATCAACTTAATTTTAAATTTAGATTCAAATACAACCTTATTGAAATAATTCTAAAATTCGAAGTCATCTTTATCCCGCCATAATCTATTTTATGATCCGATGGTCCAAAATCCAAAGTCTTGATCTAAAGTCTTGATCTGCTGATTATGTTGTTCGATTGATGATCCAATCACACCAATGGACTCCTAATCACATTCTTTTTAATCTCAAGGGTTCAACATGAGAATGACCATTGTCAATAATTTTCATGGAGAAATTGAACCAATAAAATTCAATGAACACGATCTATTTTATTTTTTCATTATCTAATGCCCATATCATATAGGATGCCTCTTCTTAAAGCCTTCCTTGAATAGACGATCAGACTGACCATCAGTTTCACTATATGATCTCAAAATCAACTAGTTTTAATTCTGCTAGTTCTAATATCCTAATATTTTATAAATTAGATCTATGATACCAAAACCAAATACAACTAGTTATAAATTGATCCTTTCTCATCAATATTTAATCATGATTATTTTCTAATTTACTAATGTTGCATCCATGCAATCAAATTCTGTAAAACTAGACTTATAAGCCTCTAGACACTAAATTTCATATCTTCTCTATGGTTCAAACATCAATTAATACCATGTCAACTAAAAACAACATACATTTTGAACATTATTGTTAATCACATCAAAGAAAAAAGTAGCCACCTAATGCATATCAACATTACCAAAACTGCAAATTACTTATTGCCACATTATATATATCTCTAACAACTTCAATCCACACATTTTTCATCTCAATACATGCCAATCAATTACAGAGTTGTACTATCAAATGCAATTTTAAGGCTAATGAAAATCAGATGAAAACAAATAATTCACAAAATTGGAGAATAGCTAGTGGCGAATAAAAGACAATTTAACCCTCAAATTACTGTAGAAATTGTGATCTGCTAGTAAAATTATAATTTAACTGATAAAGAAGCATTTCATCAGTCCTAAAGAGTTGCCTAAAACTCATAAAAGTAACATGGTTCAATTCCATTAATTTCCATGTAATATATAATAAACATACTAACCTGAATTGGCTGAATAGAATCTCACCGATGCTGCATGTGGACTGAAAAACAGAAAGTGGTCAACATTTCACCAAGGAATCAATCTTTCAATGAAACAACATATGATGACTTACCACAATACAACTTTGACAAACCGAAAGCTAGACACAGCGATACTCGTTTTAGAAGTGTTCTTGGTCAAACGAGAAATGGACAACAACGTGGAAGAAGCCTATATAGAGCGACAACAAAATATACAAGTTAAACAATCAAAATATGGCAAAAGCATGAAGAAGAAAATTTAATGCATGCAATTAGCAGCAGTGATGACGCATTAGGATATCGAATTAATTAAGTTGACGATAACCTTGGTTGTTGGGGAACATCCCACAGCTATGCTGGCCTCTACATCTCCTTTACCTGGCAAGCCACATCCACTGCTCCTTAGCAAACACTCAAACATAAACCACAAAGCATAACATGACCACAAGTTGATTATTTGCGTGGGCAGGCAGTTGTGCTTGATTATTTGTGTGGGCGGGCGTGTGCTTGACCATTTGTGTGCTCGGTGTTTGTGCGGGGCAGAGAGATTGATTCATGCATTAATTTTCAACACTACTTGTAGTTAAAGCTGTAAGCAGCATGATGAATACTCGCACAACACACTAATAAAAAAGTTCTTCTGCATTAAAAATATAAGAAGGAAAAATGAAAAAAAGCCTACCAACTCCTCTGCTAGCAAAAGCACCAACAGCATCAGATGAAAAGTAGACAGTAGAAGCGGGCCTATGTAGTAGAATATTTTGAGCATTCTTGAGCTGCAAAAGCATGAGGTACAAAATAAAAAAAATAAGCAAAAAAAATAAAAACAAAGAAAGCTTTTAAGGAAAAATTGGATGGGTGTAATAGCGGTAGAGACTAATGCTCTTGCGCTTCATGATGCTTCTAAGAATGGCTATTGTCTATTGGTGATATTTAAATTTTATAAAAGTAACCCGAAACACTAGTATATAATTTATCAATATGCTAAAAACTTGAACCAATAAAACCCAAGAAGCAAACCATTCCAAACTGTTATTTTTGGGGGTAATATATAGAAGCATTCTTGCCAAACAACTGACCATTTCATCTTCGTTTTACCATTTTAATTTCATAACCCTAAACATTAACTTTATTTCCAAATTTTCTATTGCTTATGTACATGAATGAAGCATCTAAACATATACTCCATCATATCATGCACTTGTTTAAAATTGAGCAATATTAGTGCACCTTCAGATCCGCCTCATTCTTTTTTTTAAAAATTGCAATAACCTCAGTATCCTAAGTTAAGGCATACACCTCATCCACGATGAGGAGTGCCTTGCCTCAAAAAATGCCTCAAATTTTTTAGGATGTCCGCCAATGTAGCTCACATATTAACTCTCACATCTCACACACTAAATAATAAAAAATAAAAGGAAAACATATTCATAAGAGTTTATGTAATTGAAATTTTAATTGTCAACATAAATTATTATTTTCATTAATATTTTTATTAAAGACTCTTAATTAAAAAATAAAATGTAACTAGGATTAAAATAATGAGGAATGGAAAAATATAGATACAATTAAGGATAAGGACGATATAAACAATTCATTATCCCGATGATTCTAATGAAAATCAATTGGGTGATGAGAGTAACAATAACTTTTAAAGTTAAAAATTCAAATGTTGATGAACTTTGATATCCTTGTTTAAACAAGGGGTACTACGTATGAGAGAGAAACTTACCTTAAACTTATTTTGATTGCTATGTTTTAATAATTTAATATCTTAATTTTTTTAATAGTTTAATGTTTGTATAACTCATCGTATTTCATAATTTAATGTTAGGATATTAAGGTGTTACTTCCAATTTTTTTACTTAATCATAATATTGTTATATTGCTTTTTAACTTGTTAATAAGTTAGAATATAAAATGCTATTTCTTACTTCACCATTTATAGTTTATACAATATTTATCAATTCACGCATTTTTTTAAATTTAAAGCTTGTCTCAAAACACCTTGAGACTTATGCCTCGCTTAAAAAAAAAAAACCCCCTTGTACCCAATTGAGCAATTTTAAACATTCTATATCCACAATAAGTGCGTTGTTACTCTTATTGAGTCACAAAATAATCATTTTACTCTATAATTCCCTAATGGACCACACAACCATCTTAATGTCCTTGTTTCTATCATATTCAACTTGGCCTATTGGTGTACCTTTTTGGGTCAGCATTCAAATTCATATGGTATATTCTTTAAAGTCTTTAAAATGGTGGCTAATGTTTTTTTTTTTTTTTGGTCAATTTGTTACAACTAAAATCACTGTAAAGCACATATTGAAGAGTGAGCTGCCTTGTGATTGTGTTAATCATAAATATAAACCATGAAAAAGGTGTCTTCACAATATACTACCTTATGTCTCACATTCCCCGCACAGACTAAAGTTGTGATGCTTCAAAATTTTCAAAGCAAAGAACGAGAAAAATATTACCAGGCAAGGCATAAATCACCATGAAATTTCCTCATCATATGTAAGCTACAAGAGCTTGTCCTTCATAACACAACTTCTACACCAAAAGTCATGCTTTCTAATACAACTCCATTTGATTTATAATTAATCTAATTAACCTATCACTTCATGTTCCAGACCCATTGATTAACAAAAAATTCCATACATACCCAATATTTATTCTAATAATCCTAAAATCATTCATTCTCAAACATCTAACTTAATAAATCTCTCGATAGTGTTTTGCCCTTGATCATTTTATATACCTTTTTTATTCCTTCCTTGGTTCCCAATCAACCATACAAACCTTTTCGACTTCCTTATATATTACCCTCTTCACAAAACTACCAGAATTCTTATAACTACCATATATCACACGAATAATTAAAGTTTTTTTCATTTTTTAAAGTAAATTCATTTTCTATATTCAACCTCCTCAATCCGCCACCTCATCTCCGTATTAAAATCCGATCATATTTTAAACTCTCGTATAATATCCATGGAAATCTTCTAACTACAACTACCCATTTTACCTACATTAGGGGCCCGTTTGGGGCAGCTTAAATGTGCGGCGGTGTTTTTAAAAATGCCGCCCAAGTGTTTTTATTTCGCGTTTTACCTGGGTTTTTCGAAACACTGTTTTTATATTCTATTACACGGGGATCGCGGGTATATCCCCACAATCCGTGTTTGGGCTCCATTTTTTACTCTGCTACCCTCCTAAGCCCGCAGCCGACCTTCCTTCGAACATTCGACGTCGATCCCGCCTCTGTCGCTCCGCAGGTAACAAAACTCATTTTCCTGGCTCAACTCCTCCCTCCTTTCCCCCATTTTGCCGAGAGATTTAAGATTTTGGCAAGAGATTTCAGTCGATCCATCTGTTTGGAAGTGTTTGGTGGCTAAAACCTAAATCCGGTTTGAATATGCAAGTATCGCCGGTAAAAATGTAGATCCACTGTTATTGTGATATGTTTGAAGCATACTCCATCCCCCATCCCTACCTTTCTTCGAACTGTGTTTATTCGTATCAACTAAAAAAAAATTTTCGTGTATTGTTCGTATGGTCTCCATGCTATTCAAAGTTATTAATTCTTTTAGGGTATTTGTTTGAAAGGCTAGAAGATATTGATGCAATGCTCTGTTCCCTGCGATTTGGTATTCAAGTTGCTTTATATTTTAGAGGTATCATTTGGTTCATTTTTTGTATAAAAAAGCTTTTGGTGTGAGTGGTTCATATCTTTGGTATTCTTTGAGCCATATTTTATGACTTTCTTCAACATGTCACATAATTTCTTAGAATTTGTCAGTTCTGTTTTTGGGACCATGCTATTTTTATTAGGAAGATTTACATACACATCACTTAATTCCTATGTATTTACATATCTAACACCTAAACTTAGATTTTTACATATATGTCATCTTACCTATGCATTAGAAGGTGTATTTTACTTTTTTAAAAAATATAGTTATAGAAAAGTAAAAATAGTTATAGTTTTTATGTGATTTGAAAGATTTGGATGGTATAAATGTAAAAAATAAGGTTTTGGTATGAGATATGTAAATATATAATAATATGATGGTAGGTATGTTAATGCCCTTTTTTATTATTCATCTTGTTTGTGGTGTACACGAGTTGAGTCGAGCTTATTATTTAAACAAGTGGACTTGATTGAGACGAGATTATTATGACAAAATTGGTTAAAGAAACAATTCTATTGTGTCGATGTTTGTTCACAACTGAATGGGTAAAAAAGCTTGCATTATGTTGATGACTGCAATTTTCCACGATTATTGGATGGATAGTTGGCTGTAAAAAACATCGAGGCATAGATATATTATTTTGTTCAACAACATGAATTTGCTTGCAAATTAGAACAAGTAGGAAAAAGAAGCAACAACATAGAGCTATAAAAATTTTATTGTTATTTCTTGCATATTTGGCTTGGCAACAATGAAAATTAAGGTGATAAACATTTTTTGGCTCTCACGTTATGTTTATACAAATAGTTTGCACTGGTTCAATGAATATTCTTTTACCGAGATGGCGATAAGCATGTTTACTTTAGTATGAAGTTTTTGAAGGTTGACAGTTGTGTTCCTGTGCATTTAACTAATGAGTATAGAATATGAGTATAGAACTTTGGTGCTTATGTGATAATAGTGTTATTTTAGAGTGCTATGTGCAAAAATATAAATATAAATGTGATATTAAAGAGTTGAGTGTTATGCGCGAAAATATAAATGTTTAGGTGTCAGATATGTAAATGCATTAGAATTATGTGCTATTTATATAAACGAAGCTTCTTGGATGAATTGACTATATGGTATTGGTGTATGATTGTTGGATGAATGTTTATGTTTGTTTTATTTTTATGTGCTGGTGTTGGAAGAATAGAGGAATGAATTTCTGATTTGGAATGCTTTTAGATCATCATGGATTGTTGTTGGCAACCGTTGCTTCCACTTTTCTGTTGTTGTAAAACAGGATTTAAGACACCACCTGTATATATAAATTGATAATTTTGTTTACACCACCTGTATATAGCAGTTTGGACGACCACGTAAATTTGTTATCGGGAATCGCTGTCTCCGCACTTGGGTAAGTTTACTTTTTATATTTCCTCAATTTTTTATTGATCTATTCTATTTTTAATAACTGCAGAACGATGAGTTCCAAACATTCAGGGAAGTCCGAGAAAGTGATGTGTCGTTGCGGACTACTGTTCTTGATATTCACTTCACGTCAGACACATAGCTTCGGGAGGCAGTTTTACAAGTGCCTGTGGTGGGGACAAGAACCAGAAGACTGCAAATTCTTCAGGTGGGCTGACAATGCAACTGTTTCTATGATATATCAATTGGACACAGCTGCTAGGAGTTTGATAGTACCACAACGGGAGACCACCGCATATGGTTGTTGACCTCATTTTTAGTGAGGTCTTAGTCTCCTACTCTTAGAACCTATAATCTAGCCTTAGGAGTTCCTGGTTGACCATCCTAGCGAACTAGTAATGGAGCCCACCTCCCGTAGAACTTCAAGCCACTTCTTGACTCATTTCTGTGAA